CACCACTAAACCATGTCATTAAGCACTACGTCAACCTGTCTTTTGAACACCTCCAGGGATGGTGCCTCAACCACTTCCCTGGCAGCCCATTCCAAGGCTTCATAACCCTTTCAGTGTAAAAATTTTTCCTAATATCCAATCTGAACCTCCCCTGGTGCAACTTGAGGCCATTTCCTCTTGTCCCATCACCTGTGACTTGGGAGAAGAGACCGACCCCCCCCTGGCTACACCCTCCTTTGAGGGAGTTGGAGAGAGTGAGAAGGTCTCCCCTCAGCCTCCTTTTCTCCAGGCTGAACAACCCCAGAATATGCTCTTCCATACAGCACTTCCATAATATCCTTTAGGTTAAGCACTCTAGAACTATTAATATCACCTTCCATGCAGCCTTAATTCAGTTCCTTGTTTAAGTGCAATAAAAGATAACCTTTAATTAAATGTTCTTCCTTTTGGTTTTTGTTTTTTTTTTTCCATGGGGTTCCCATCATATGGTGAGATCAGCGATAAGAAAAAGAAGCAAGACTGGGCAGTAATGAGGCTCCTCGCTTCATTTGCTCCACCGTGCAGGAAATGCAACTTCTGCAAAGAGCAAAAGCAGGAGACTGCAAGAGAGAGCGTGCCTTTTGGAATAAAGCAACTGAATATTACAAAACAAAGCTGAAGTCGCATCCGTGCCGCTGCTACAGACTTCCTCCCTGCCCGGGACCACAGCTCCCTCGGTCTGCCTCACGGACAGTGAAGCTACAGTTTAGACACGACAAGGTGGAAAAGAAGCGTGTGGCTCAAGGGCCAACATTATGGTGCTTGGCAGCTTTGAAAAAACAGAGAAGACCAAGGCTTTGGAAGAACAGGAAGGCACAGTAATAGGACACGACACTCAGTAGGATTAGATACCTACTAATATCTTGACTCTATGTGATATGATACAGTTCTTCCACAATCAAAAATCTGCATTTGGCAAAATTCCCCTTGGGACAGTTTTTAAGCTCCACTCCAACACGTGAAAAACCCAAGTTTTCAGAAGAAAGACCAGTTACTCTACTTGAAAACAACGATAAAAAGTACTTCTCCAATTTTTCTTCCCATTACCACTGGGAGGTGGTGGAGTCTCCTTCTCTGGAGACATTCAAAACCCACCTGGACACGTTCCTGTGCAACCTGCTCTAAGGTGGACCTGCTTTGGCAGGAGGTTGGACTAGATGATCTCCAGAGGTCCCTTCCAACCCCATGTCATTCTGTGATTCTGTGATTCTGTGACTTCACATTGGAGGGGAGCCAAGTAGCAGCTTAGCAGCTTGGTAGAAGGAATAACGGAAAGATTTGAAAGCATCTGTGTAAGTGATCCTGACCAGGAGATGGCTGTGCATGGAGGAGTCGGTGGCTGTCCCTGCAGGCCCAGCATGGCCCTCAGCCTGCCTTGGGCTGGCACATCCCTTGACACAACTGGGCCACCTCGTTATAGATCTCGTTACAGCAGAGGAGCCTGAAGGCAGCTCCCACCTGGTACCAGGGGCTGTGCCACCTGCCTGGCCTTGCCTTTATCTGAAAGTCACAGAATCACAGAATCACAGAATGATATGGGGTTGGAAGGGACCTCCGGAGATCATCTAGTCCAACCCCCCTGCCAAAGCAGGTCCACCCAGAGCAGGTTGCACAGGCAAATGCAGCAAAAAGTTCTCCTGCAAACATCCCCTAGCAATAGCATTGTTTTCTGTAAGGACATTATTTAATAGGTCAAAGGACCACAAAGGAGGAACATCTCCTTGGAGGGATCTGCCATGGAAAAGTCCAACTGTGGCTTGTTCGATGGTGTGCTAATGCAAAGTGCCTGGTGTCTGAAGGGACCTTAGAATTGCTCACTATCTATGTTCTTCTCTTTATTCTCTCTTATTAAAATGCCTATTTTATTAATCTATTTGGTTTTGGGCGATTTGTTGTTTCTTCTTTCTCTAGAAAAAGCCCTGCACCATCTCTCTCTCATCTCACCATCACCCCTGGTGCAAAACAATGCCTTAAATGTTTTTTTTTTCCAACTCTTTTCTGTATTTGTGCTAGAAAAACTCTGACAAAAAAATTATTTTGAAAGCTACTAATTGTTAAGTTTAGATGATACTATCATTTGCAGCATTACACCAGTAAAGCAGGTGTTCCAGTCAGGACCAGGGTAGTGGTATGTAACACACATGGACAAATTCAAAAGAGCAACACTTACCCTGGAGAGTTTCCACCAAAAAGCCCTGGTGCCACCTGGAAAGCTCTGTGATCAGATGCCTTTACAAGAGCTTTTTCTAGGATTTATGGGCTAAGACCTCTCAAAGGGTTATTTCGTCTACCTGTTATGCAAAGATGGAGATATTTTGCAATCTAACAGGAGCAGAGCCCCATCTTACAACGGTGGGCAGGATGGGGCTGAGCACCCAGCAGGATCTTGAGCTCATTCAGGCATTTCAGCCTGAGCCACCAGTGATGAGACCTCTGATTTTTACCCCAATTGCCCCCTTGCTTCTGCAGCCAAGGCCATACACGTGCCCCACTGGCTCCTAAACATTTGCAAAAATATTGGTGCTGTGAAATACAGGAGCGTTCTTAGAAAGGTGATGCAAAAATTATTATTCCTCTTGTGGCCTCACCTTAACCATACAATACCCTTGGATTTGAGATTTAATAAAAACCTTGCCCTTGTACCGTAGGGAGTGACTTGGAAATAGGATCCATTCATAGCCAGAAAATAAAAAAAAAAGGGAGGCAAAGAAAAAGCACCTCGAGCATTCTTTGCCAAAGAACTTTCCTAAACCTCATCTTTACATCAGCCTCTCGATATTTTCGCAGCCTGACTCATAAAATGTTGAGTGTGTGTGGGAGAGGGAGAGTGGGAGGGAAGGGATGGCACTGCCATTTTAAAACCGATTATAAATAGACAAAATGCCAACTGTCTGCGTTTTACCCTCAAGACATCACCGAGCAGCCAAGTTTATTGCCATCGTCTGTAACTAATAATGCAAAGATGATTAGTTTTGTTTCTTAAATTTAAAAGAGAGTGTCGTTAAGACTTGAGAGCAACACGTGCAGTTTGCAAGGGATGGATTTTTCTAGGCAGTTGGGGTGATGCTTCTTTTTTTTTTGTTTGTTTAAAAGGGGGATTATCAGCACAGCGATTCGAAAAATGTGCTTGCAGGGTTGCAATAAAGCAAAAATCTGCAGTATCACTTATTTTGGGCTGTTTATGCCGTTGACTTCCTCTCGCTTCTGCTGAAGTGCGTGGGTTTCGTTTTTCCCTTCCGCAGAAGCCCTGGGAGTGTGTGTCGTGTGTTGTCCCCCCCAGCCCCAGTTGCCACCCACTGTCACATCCTGCCAGCACTGGGGCCACCAACCAACCGAGGGGGGCAAGGGCTGCCTTTCACATCCCCCTGCCTTTTGTTTTCTGGACCACTCAGAATCACAGAAACACAGAATCTTCTAGGTTGGAAGGGACCTTAAAGATCATCTTGTCCAACCATCAACCTAACTTTGACAAAAATAGACAGCCACACAACAAACAAGAAGCATCACCATCACTAAACCATACCTCCCAGCACTACATCAACCTGTCTTTTGAACACCTCCAGGGATGGTGCCTCAACCACCTCCCTGGGCAGCCCATTCCAATGGCTGATAACCCTTTCAGTGAAAAAATTTTTCCTAATATCCAGCCTGAACCTCCCCTGGCGTAACTTGAGGCCATTTCCTCTTGTCCTGTCGCCTGTGACTTGAGAAAAGAGACCGACCCCCACCTCTCTACACCCTCCTTTCAGAGAGTTGTAGAGAGCAATAAGGTCTCCCCTCAGCCTCCTCCAGGCTGAATAACCCCAGCTCCCTCAGCCTCTCCTCATAAGACTTGTGCTCCAGACCCCTCAACATCTTTGTTGCCCTTCTCTGGACCCGCTCCAGCACCTCAATGTCTTTTTTATGGTAGGGAGCCCAAAGATGGACACAGCACTCGAGGTGGGACCTCACCAGTGCCCAGTACAGGGGGACAATCACCTCTTGGGCCCTACTCGCCACGCTGTTCCTGATACAGGCCAGGATGCTGTTGGCTTTCTTGGCCACTTGGGCACACTCATTGTTAAACTTTTTTAAGACGAGACGTAATGTCAACAACCAGACCCCTTCTGGGGTGTGAGCCGGGTCCCAGGCACGACTGGGAGCTCTGGGGTCTGGGGAATAAGTCTTGTAAGGAGAGGATGAGGGAGCTAGGGGTGTTCAGCCTGGAGAAAAGGAGGCTGAGGGGAGACCTTCTCGCTCTCCCCAACTCCCTGAAAGGAGGGTGTAGCCAGGGGGGGTCGGTCTCTTCTCCCAAATCACAGGCCATGGGACAAGAGGAAACGACCTCAAGTTGTCCCAGGGGAGGTTCGGGTTGGATATTAGGAAAAATGTTTACACTGAAAGGGTTATTAAGGATTGGAATGGGCTGCCCAGGGAAGTGGTTGAGGCACCATCCCTGGAGGTATTTAAAAGACAGGTTGATATAGTGCTTAGTGACATGGTTTAGTGATGGTCTTTTTAATCAGAGTTAAGTTGATGGTTGGACTAGGTGATCTTAAAGGTCCCTTCCAACCTAGACAATTCTACAATTCAATGATTCTTTTTCTCACTCTGCAAAGTATTTGTGAGAGAACCAAGCTGACGTGTGCCTCGAACTTACGAATCCCTTCCAATTTGAGATGATATCCTATGGTTCTATCAACCGCCAAATACATTTATAGAGAAGAAAACAATTCTGAGAAGTCCCACCACAGCAGTTCCCCCCTCCCTGGCCATCTGGCTGGGCTTGCTCCAGTGTAAAATACAATAAAGATATTAAGCACACAGAGCATGCCTTGTTTTCCACAACACAGAGACAGGTTAGGGAGAGAGGCTTTGGTGTTGAGCACAGACAAGGTGGCAATGCCTCTGGATACATGGAGGCTTCCATGGTTTAAGTCCCCAGCAAAGCTTTGCAGTCAAACCTGTGGACTTGGAGCTACCTGAGCACCTTGCAGACGTTATGCATCACATGCTTGAGTTTAGGTACTCGAATGCCTCCGAAGGTACCTATAGTGCAATTATCTATCTCCATCTTTGGATCTTGACTTCTGTGTCAACCACCACATAGCGTTGAACTCCTGCTGAACAGTGGTGAGCGTCATCAACTGCTATTGCCTTTACGTCTTTTTATTTTTCTAAGAAAGCTGAAAACAGGTTTCCAAGAAAATCACACTGTGCTCCAAAATACCACTTTATAAAGGAAGTTTTTCAGAACATTATCTACAGACTGTGGCCTCCAGACTAATAAAGACCTGGCAATAATATGTCTTCTATCACCAAAGTAGCTTCACAAAAGATCTAATTCTGCAAGATACAAACTCTCAGTTTATTCTAGTGTGATCTCCCGTGGCATTTAGCAGCCTGAGCAAAGACCAGAAAATGCAGCTCACTATATTCCCATTCAAACATAATTATCATTTACTGAGTGTTTCCCCACTGGGAAAAAATACCCAGGTTTTGAGCGCATGTTGTATCAATACATTTGCATAATATGCATATACAAATATACGGGATATACTACTATTGTCCTCTCTGGAGAACAGCTTTAAGGACATCAAGGTGGCCCTAAGACTCTTAGTGACACTCAGCTTGCAGTTGGTTGTGCAGGATTAAGCTCCAAAAAGGAGCAAGGTCATGGACATAACGCTGCTATATTTGTGGAAGGGCTGGGCTGTACCCGAAAACACCCAGGTCTGACTCCAAGCATTTCTCCAAAAGGAATTTTGATGGGGATCTGATCTGACAAGACTCTGGAGCTTGGTTATAGCTCACACTACTCCCTCCCCAGGTACCAGCCTGGTATTTAACCTCCCCGAGCCGCTCAGGTGCTCTGGTGGGGATAAGCATAATTTGTGATGACATTCAGGCTACACTGCAAGGTAACGCTTCCTCTGGTGCCTTATTCCAAATACCTGCCAGGAGACCAGCACCAGCTGCTTAAATAGGCATCTGCAGGGCATCTGGGGCTAACGCTGTGGCAGAACTAAACCAACTGCCACCCTCAGGAAAACTTCATTAGAACCATCTCACATTAAGCAGTTTAGATCTTAAAGACGCTTTCTAGAAACACTGTCAATCACTTAACTAATCCACTCCCTCTCTTTTTTTTTTTTTTTTTTTTTAAATAAAGGAGTACCTAGAAACAGATTCCTTGGAGTCACTGCACTGGAGCAACTCTTCAACCTGCTATGGATTTTCTTTGAGAATGCCATTTCAGATCAAAATGCTAAAGATGTCTTTGCCTTGAAAATCACATCCTTAGATCTAAGTCGTTATGGGTGCTGTAGCTTTGAGCAAAGGCAGATCGTATTTTTTTAGTGTCACTTGTAACATTAACAGTCTTGACTTGGATCCTGTCCACGCGTTCTGGAGAGCAATAAGTAGTTCTTTCGTCCTTGTCTTTTTCTCCAGTAACAAATGCACCAAAGGGGACAGTTTGGGTCTTCATCGTAACCTTAATGGACAGTTTCCAAAGTAAAAATTGACTGGTCTGTAGGGGAGAAGAAAAAAAGAAAAAAAACCAAACTACAGAGTATTTGGGTGTATAGCAACATCTTTTGGGTTGCAAAACAATGTCATACCGATTTCCATCCTGACAGGTATTCAGGCTTAAATATACCACTGGGTCATAAAACTCATATTCTTTAACCCATCTGGATCATCTGTTCCAAAGAGCTGCCAGAACTCTGCAGTATATTTTTTTGTTCTAGAGGTTCACTTTCCTTCACGTTGCTTTGTTCATGCCTAGTTCTGCCCTTTGTGGCTGACTTGGAAATTACTAGCTTTCTTAAACATCACAAAAAAAATCCATTACAGTGCAAATGTCCCATATTTGTTCGAGAAGGATGTGAACAAGAATTTTGCAAAATTATTGATTTTGCCCCCTTCCAAAAGAAATGCATGTTGGGGTTTTCCACCCCCCCCCCCCTTTTTTTTTTTTTTAAGTCCTTGAAACCATGATTCTCACCATACAATTATCAGACAGAGGAATTTCAGGCAATATCAAACACGAATTACGCTGCGGGGTGTACACCAATCCTTTAGGACTGTTCTTTTACACTAGGTGGAGGTGACAGGAAGATATCATTGATGGTTAGTGTTTTGATATGGAGCCATGAGGCCAGTCCTGTGGCATTCACTGGTTCATCTCAGCAAAGGCTCTGCAACTGTTTAAATATGTTTAAGTGTCACTTTGTGCTGCCTGAGTAGAAGAGAATCCCAGCCTATTTCTGAAACCTCCAACTATTTTAAATAAAACTGCTAAGTATCAGCAGTAATATAATCAGTTTTCAGCATGTAAGAACTTCCTGCTCCTCTTACTCGACTGTTCTTTTACACTAGGTGGAGGTGACACGAAGATATCATTAATGGTTGGTGCTTTGATATGGAGCCATGAGGCCAGTCCTGTGGCATTCACTGGTTCATCTCAGCAAAGGCTCTGCAACTGTTTAAATATGTTTAAGTGTCACTTTGTGCTGCCTGAGTAGAAGAGAATCCCAGCCTATTTCTGAAACATCCAACTATTTTAAATAAAACTGCTAAGTATCAGCAGTAATATAATCAGTTTTCAGCATGTAAGAACTTCCTGCTCCTCTTACTCTTGTTTTTTCCTTCAAGTGATTTTTTTTTTGTTTTGTGAGAAAGAAACCAAGTAAAGATAACCAACTTTACACAGACATGAACGGCGAAAGTGACATTGCTGTCACCAAGAGAAATCTCTGGAAGCAGAAAGAACACCTCCAGCAAAGCTTCGGAGGGGAGATGAGAAACAAGCAACAGCAACATGCGTTTTCAACCACAACATGCATTTTCAATATTCATTCCAACACGAGAGAGGCATAGAAAAGGAGAAGATAATCTTGCACACATTTCAACCCTTCCCTTGCTCAAATTCCCAGCAAAACCTATGCTCACAAGAGAAATAACTGCAAAGTTTAAGGCGTTGCCACCCTTTGCCAGAGGTTACACAAACCTGCACCTCAGCACCTTCACAGCTTAGTCAGAACCACCTTGAAAAGCACGTTTCTCTCCAGTCACTGGATTTTGCACGGAAACCCCTGAGGTCCAGAGAGGTGATTCTGCCACTTTACTCTGCTCCGGCGAGACCTCACCTGGAGTATTGTGTGCAGGTCTGGAGCCCTCAATATAAGAAGGACATGGACCTGATGGAGAGGGTCCAGAGGAGGGCCACAAGGATGATCAGGGGGTTGGAGCCCCTCTGCTACGAGGACAGGCTGAGGGAGCTGGGGTTGTTCAGCCTGGAGAAGAGGAGGCTCCAGGGAGACCTAATAGCAGCCTTCCAGTACCTGAAGGGAGCCTACAGGAAGGCTGGGGAGAACCTGTTTACAAAGGCCTGCAGTGACAGGACGAGGGACAATGGCTTCAAGCTGGAGGGGAACAGATTTAGACTGGAGATCAGGAGAGGGTTCTTCACTGTGAGGGTGGTGGAGCACTGGCACAGGTTGCCCAGGGAGGTGGTTGAGGCCCCTTCCCTGGAGATATTCAAGGAGAGGCTCGACGAGGCCCTGGGCAACCTGGTCTAGTTGGGGGTGTCCCTGCTGACTGCGGGGGGGTCGGACTAGATGACATTTGGAGGTCCCTTCCAGCCTGGACAACTGTATGATTCTATGAGTACGTATGCTCCACTCCATCAGCTGCTCTGACAGTCCCCGCTGAAGACACACAGTGTTGACATCTTAAATTGTACCAGCCAGATTTGCCTGGAGTTCATCTAACCTCTCTTTGAGGTTCCACCATGCTCTCGGATCTTAAGTAGATGGAGACCGAATTAACTAAACTACTTTTTTACTCATTTCTCAGCATTATCACAGGCAGGTAACAGCCCTACCCACAACTCTTTTATGCTGTTGTCAAAGACCTCTGTATCTTCCTACTTCCCAGCAGCCAGGAGAATGACTTGCTATTCTGGAATCACTGGTGCTCCTAGTGATTGACCTACAAACTTCCTTCAGACCCATGGCTGGTGAGGTCATGAACCCATCACAGGGGACTTCTGATTGTCTTACTATTTCCAAAAATAGGTAGTGCCTTCCCCATAGTTAGGTTTTCTGCTATTGTGTCAAGTGCTTCAGGAAATACAACTAGTGTCTAGGCCATTTGCTGTGGAAATTACTTCCTTCACAGAGGCGTGGTCCCACGCATGTGAAGCAATGCTAGTATTTGACTTTCTCTGCAAAAAAAAAAAAAATAATAATTAGAAATGAAATCAACAGTGCTTGCATGTAACCTGAAGTGAAGAAGCCTACGCGGTTCTGGGGCCAGTAGACACATTAAGCATTGAGCTGAAAGCAAGTTCTTAGATACATAGCCCTGTTCATGTTGTTCCTCTTCTGCTTTCAGAGGCAGTTCCTCTTCTGCTTTCAACTCTTCTGGGCAGTACAGAGTCATATTCACCTCTGGTTGTTACCGATTTGTTTTAGTGCCAGGTTTCTCTGTCTCCTTCTACACAGTGTTCCCAGAAGCCCTGAATATCACAGAATGGTTTGGGTTGGAAGGGACCTCAAAGATCATCCAGTTCCAACCCCCTGCCATGGGCAGGGACACCTCCCACCAGACCAGGTTGCTCCAAGCCCCATCCAGCCTGGCCTTGAACCCCTCCAGGGATGGGGCAGCCACAGCTTCTCTGGGCAACCTCTTCCAGTGTCTCACCACCCTCACAGGAAATAATTTCTTCCTGATATCTCATCTAAAATCTCCCCTCTTTCAGCTTAAAACCTGTTCTCATCCTATCACAACACTCTCTCATAAAGAGTCTCTCCCCAAATACATTTATTAGCATTGTTAAGAAGATAAATCCAAAATGAGAGAGATAATAGAAGTCTCCTCACAGTCCTGTCTCAGCTCCAACTCAGAATTGAGCCTTACATTTACTGGCGCTTTTATTTGTTTGTTTTACTAAATTTTCAAGACTGGGGCCCCCTCAGTCCTTAAAGAGCTGTCAAGAACACACACACAGAGAACTGTATTCTGGCTGGGACGGGCTGGTGCCCTCCTCTACCAAAACATCTCAGCCAACCAGAAAGCCCTGTGTATCCGTCAGCACGCTCGGGCTGTCCTGCCAACCCAGACAATGACTCAGGCCTTCACCGAAATAGAGGCAGAGGGAAAAACAACTGTGGTTATATCTGGTAACGCGGAGCTGCCTGGTCTCACCCCAAACTGAGACGGCTCTGGGTCTCAGTCCCTCTTCTCTCCACCAGCGCAGGGGCACTTTGTCAGCACGGATCTGGGAGCAGAAGAGTGGCACTGGAGTGACACTGGAGTGACAAGCTGTGCCGAGATCCTGCTCCAGCTGGCTCGGACCCAGACAGCTCGAGTTTCTCCGCGTTATCACTTCCTCGCTTCTCCAGATTCTGGGGCCAGCCCAGGTCTGTTTGCACACAGGATTTCAGTCGCTTTCCTGTCGCTGAGCAAAGACACAAGGGGCAGCAGCTGGAATCACAGGGCTTCCTGGAGATTCCTCAACCATGCCTGCATTTCCTGTATCTGGAAATAAGGAGACGCTTCGCAAGCATTTTGTACTTGTAAAAGGCTGCCAAATAAAGAGAAATTCACCCACCCTGCAACTTGAAGAGCTGCAGAGTGGAAGCACGGAGCAGTGAGCAGCTTGCTTACCCACTGCTGCTTTCCCCACGCAGCAGCTCTTTCTCCCGACTGGAAGGAGCATTTTCACCTGCTAAGAAGAATTATCAGCGAGCTAGAAAACAATCAAAAGGGCTTTTTTTTCCTCCCCTCCCAAAGGAGCATTTTCACCTGCTAAGAAGAATTAGCAGGAAGCTAGAAAACAATCAAAAGGGCTTTTCTTCCTCCCCTCCCGCTTTCTGCCTGCAGCAATTTAGAGAAAGCATAATTTCTGCGAGGAAAATAATCACACCACCTTCTGGTTACCACTGCATGGAAGCATTCAGGGGAGTTCCTCACTCACCCACTTCCTTCAAAAGTCTAGAGGACCAACAAATGAAAGAATATTACGCTGCCAGAGATGAATGAGGCACATGTCACGCTTTCTGTACAGTTATTTAACTCCTTACAGGAGTTCAGTTGGCTTTCATTTCAGACTGCAAATGAGAAGAGAAACAACAGCAATAAGAATTACATAAATTTCAGTACGTGCTTTTATTTCATACTTTCATGGCACACTTTGATTTGTAAACATTAAATTACCAGGCCTCTTCTTCATATGTTGAAAATAACCACCAGGCTTTTGAGAGCATTACCTGAGATTAAAAATTAAAAAAAATTTAAAAATAAAAAAAAGAGAAAGATCTGGCATCTTTTGCCTTACATACAGTACCATTTTAGGAAGAATTACAAAAGGGAATGTTTTCCGATATAGAAGAGTTTCCTTTCGACTATAAAGATACAAATTGGATGCTTGGATGTAAAAATACATCCAAACACCTTCCAATGATCAGCCTTATTCAGAGGAGGTTGCAAGTCACTGTCTGAAACAATTTTCCATTAATGCATAGCTGAAACACTGCCTCAGTCCTGCAGCAGCATGATCTCGACGTTGTCGTGAACGCCTTGTAGAAGCAGCTCCCCTTGATAAGTGACAATTTTCCGTCGTTTTGCAGCCTTAAGAGTTCCCACCAGGGCTTCAAAGAGGTTGGCACACTTCTCATCAGCAAAGAGCACACCGAATTTCACGCTCACTTGGCCATCAGCATCTAAATCAGAGGAAAACACGTGCAGATTTTCTTTCAGTCAGGAGATTACTGGGGAAACACAGTAACAAGCAGGCAGAACGTTGAAAGTAAACCCCGTGGTATTTCCCAATTTATCAGGGAACATATTAGGAATGCTGGTGACAAACAGTAGGCAAAACTCCTGCCTGTTACGACTTTCCCTTTTTTTCCAGAGACTCATAACAAGGACCAAACATCTACTATGTTTATTTTTACTGATGACTTCCTGAAACCCAATGACTAGCACAGGCTACTGTACCTCTTCAAAACTTAAGGAAAAAATTAGTTTTAAATCATTAAAATATTATGGTTTTTTTCCAAATACTTTTTTTTTTTTACTATTAATATTTAAAGTTCACATTGAAAAAAGTGCAATGCGAATTCATTTCTCACAAAAAGCAAGAATTTTAAATTCTTATTCCTAAGAGGCAGATGCAGTCATACCAAATGCAAGACATACGTAGCCATTTAGGCTTTGAAAAATGAATGGAACTGAACTAAATTGCATCAGAACCGAAATATATGAGCACAGAATCCCAGAATGGTAGGAGTTGGAAGGGACCTCTAGTCCATCTAGTCCAACCCCCTGCCAAAGCAGGTCCACCCAGAGCAGGTTGCACAGGAACATGTCCAGGTGGGTTTTGAATGTCTCCAGAGAAGGAGACTCCACCGCCTCTCTGGGCAGCCTGTTCCAGGGCTCTGCCACCCTCAAAGCAAAGAAGTTCCTCCTCGTGTTTAGATGGAACTTCTTATGTTCAAGTTTGTGCCCATTTCCTCTTGTCCTGTCCCTGGGCACCACTGAAAAAAGACTGGCCCCATCCTCCTGACACCCCCCCTTTAAGTATTTATAGGTGTTGATCAGATCCCCCCTCAGGTAGCACATCCACAAATTTGCAGTTGATTTTAATGGGAGCCAGATTTCAGGTCTACATCCTCTGTCCTACAAAGGCTTAAATGTTTTAACTTTGTAACAGAACTACTTTAAAGGATGGGACACACGGAGTACCATAGTCCAACATCAAGGATATCTGCAAGTTTCCAGGTTACCTGAGGCTATTTAATTAAATTTGCCAAGTTCATAGGTTGATATGACTATATCCATATGATATGTATGTCATATACATACATGTAACATGACTACATCTGTACGATCAGAGATATTACAATACTTACTTTTGGTTCCCAACCGCCGAATCTCCTCAACTAAGAGGTTGATTTCATGTTCCACATTCATTGTGGTCTAAAAAGTAAAATACATTTTGACAAAGTTATTAGGAGAGCCATAAATCCCGAGCTGTTCTCAGTTCATCAGGAATGTCACAGCACTTGGGTAAATCCCAGTAGCCTGGAGACACACGGCTACAGGATAATCTGAGATTTCAGTCTTGAACGGATAAAGAGCCTCCACACCTCCACTTTCGAGAGAAGTGAACAGAAGCTACAACCTAAGTACATTCTAAACATAAATATAAGGAGCTAATCTTAAAATATCAAAAATGTGGAAAGGCTGAGGCCAAAGGGGTGGGAGGTGTGTTTTAAAGAATAAACTCAGGCTGCCACAGAATCAGACCATCCTGGTAACGTCACAGCTCTTCAGGGGCTTTGCAACTTTCTCTCTATGCCCTCAATAAAAACGGAACATCTTCCTTCGAATTCCCTTCTGGAATATACAATAATCTGTGTTTTTTTAAACCACACCACAGCTTACCACCTACCCAGCTGGTTACAGCAGGTCCAGGAGCACCATGTCCAAAAGGACACCAGCTACTGCACACCCGCTACTGAGAGAGGAGCTGAACCAGGGACAAACTACACAAGTGCCTCAAGAAAGTGCAAAAGCAGCACGGACACAATGAAACCTTTAGACGTGGAAATCCTTAAGCAAAAAAGGGGCAAGAAACTGGACCCCAAAGACAAAGCAAAGCAGCAGCTTCCACCGGGGCATACAATGCAGCCTGGAACAGGAGCTGTTAGAGAGAGGTCCTGGAGCCAAGCACTCAGTGAGCACCAAGACCCTATCACTCAAGAAACTACAATTTCTGCACAGATAAAAAATTGACATCTGGATGCATCACAAACTCTTCTCAAGAGAAAAGTTTCCCCCCCTTACTTATTTTTAATTGAGTTAAAATAGGTAAGAGTGACACAGTTCCACCTCCTGACCCCTCGTGACTTACCCAGGAGGCAAAAAAACCTCATTTTGTAACAGAGTCTGATTTTCAGCTCCCAAAATTTTTCGCTTGCAAAAATCTGTCTCTTTGACACGCAAAACTGAGCAAGCTCAGTATCAGCCCCATCCAAACCACGGCTCCGTCCCTTACGCATGGCTCAAACAGCAGATATGAACAGGTGACATGGCAAGAGGATGCGGTGACGCGGTCCCGGCTCTACGAAAAACTGCCTAAAAAGGGCAGGGCTGCAGAGTTCTCATCCTCTAGGATGATTGCTGCAAACTTTCAGATTTTGTTTAAGCGAGCACTAAACATGCTGTTCCAAGGCAGGGGGGAAAGCATGACCCACCCACCCAAGAGCTCACGCCATCATTAAGAATTTGTCAAGCTGCCAATTTTAATACGGCTCACTACAATGGCATAATTAGTTTCTCTTTAAAGACGGCCTTTTAACTTTAAAGGTTTTTCCGCTTTAACTCTTTAAATTCACCTTAATTTAAAATTCTTTGCCCTCATACACACACAGAGCCAATTTAAATTGCAAGATATAGGATTTTTTTTTTAATACTTCATTATTATGCGGGGCTTTTGAGATCAGAGAACGGTGGCTGCCTAAGGATTAAGGAAGAAGGGATTCCGGGTTATTTTAAGCACGCTTAAATATTTTACTTTATATTGCCATCTACTCGACGGGCCAACTATTAAACTCCGGCGTTCCTGATGCCAACACACTTGCTGGCAGCCGGCGGGGTTTTTCAGGACGCGGTCGGAAAAACCAAACTTTATTTAGCTGGAAATTCCCCTCAGGGTTACGGAGCACGAAGGCATCCTCCGCACCGACCCCTCCCGAGAAGATGGAGGTCGGGTGGGAGGCAGCGCTCGGTTCCCCCTCACACCGAACCACCCCACACCGCCACCTCCCCGGGCTCCGCCGGGGCCCGCCCGGGCCGGAGGGCTCCCCCCGCCGCCTTCGCACCCAGAAACAGGCCCGGCCCGGTGGAGGGGCAGCCATCCCCGGCTGCCCGGGCAGCGCCTCTCCCTCCTCGCAGCGGAGGGTAGGCCGGCTCCCCTCAGCGCGGCACCCCCGGCCCGCTCCCCGCCGCCGCCACTCACCCGCTGCCGTCGCCGCTCTCGCCGCGAGGGGCCGCCGCCGGCGGGAGCCGCCTGAGGCAGCGCGGGGGCAGGGCGAGGGGCGGGCGGCGGTAACCCGCCCTCCGCCGGGGCCTCGCCTCGTCCCGCCCCGGAGCTCCTCGCTGCCCCGCTGCGGCCATTTTGGGGTCTGCGGCAGCGCCTCTGCTCTCTCCCCGCCATGGCGGGCCCCCCCCAGCCTCGTAGGCCGAGCGCTGGGCCTGCGTTCCCTGTTGAAGGGGGGCGCCGTTCTCC